AAAAAAAAAAAAAAAAGAAATTGTAGACACAAATACTCACAGAATTTGCAGATGTTAAGTAACAGGATGGCAAATCATCAATGAATGCTAAAATTCAAAACTTGAACATTACTAATGCATGTATCTATTGAATTTGCGATGTAAGCAAAGTACACTAACAACAATTGATGAAATGAATCTGCAAACATTTTTTTTTTTTTTTCAGATTGAGTAAAACTAAAAATAACATAATTTGGAGGACAAAGAAAAATAATAATAATAACATGAATTCTTTGTAGCACAAAACATCTAAACCTTGTCTTCATTCTTCACGTTGACCATAAGTGGCCATTCATTCAATGGTATGAAAGAGCAATATTATTATACATAGTCATGACATTTTGTCCCCCATTTTATTAACTTAAAGCTCAAGTAATATCCACAAATGTTATTTAGCATCAAAATTTGGAGAATGAAACCATAATATAACCAGTTACTGATTTAAATCTAAGATGTAAGAAATACTTTGGGTGGTGGATAATGTTTTGCTTAGTTTTGGTGTAAAAGTGTTTAATAGATGTAATTTTGCCATGGTAGTAATATCTGCCGAGATGAAGCTTGTACCTGGCCGCAGCACCAGCAACCCTAAATCGCGACAATCATGTGCAGAGCTTGTGAAACAACAAAATATTATTACACATGAGAATATTGATGACAACAAGAATTAATCATAAAACAAATTGAAAACTCATAGGCCATAGTTCTATAAAATTTCAAAACATTACCAGAACCCTAATCGAGCTTAGTGGTTCCATGAAGAAGAGTAACCATGTACAGTCATTAACTGAAAAAACACAAAAATATTATGTAAATTTGAAGCCAATAAAATTCATGTCTTGCTAACTCAAAAGCATTTAGGTAACACAAAGCAGGACACGGAGACTAAGGTTGTATAAACCCATGACCGTAACAACAGAAAAACGATGACAGAAATACCTGATCTGCTGTCAGAAATAGAGGCTGCCAAACCGATATGACATTGGTCCGACGAGGACACGGCCACCCATCAATTCTGACTGCATCACAATCTAATGGAAAGTCTCATGCAAGCTCCTAAAACGTGAAAAAGATAGTTTCTTTAACCATTAAATCCTAGAAGTTGCATAAAAGCAAGAGATTACCATTTAACTAATAATCTACCCAATCTGCCAGCATAAACTTTGACTTAATTTGAACCTTGAAAGCATTTACTTCATGGTATGAGTATAAACTTCAACAGTGACCCTTCAACAATGTTTTTTTTCGTTTAGAAAGTCTCGGCATCTGTGACCTTGCATAATTTTCTTTCCCGGACTATATCCATTTGGTAGTCAACACCACCAACACTCAGCGTGACTGTGTTGCTGTCGTCGTTCAGCGGCTCAATGTGTTCCATCCAAAACGACATGGGACTTCGCTAAAATTGTAAATAAGTTAAATATGAGAGCACGAAAAATGTAGCTACAAACCAAACATCTAAACTCATGCTAAAACGCAAAAATCCGAGACACAGGAAGCATAAATTAAAACGAAGAATGAAAATACTATCATTATCAATATAAAACTATTATAGCATGACACACCTCTATAGTCTTGAACAATGGTTAAACAACATCAGTAAATAAAGTAAGCATTTAATGAATTTCTGCGTGAGTGTGTCTACGATCAGTAATAACATGTCTTTGGCCCTGGATATCCATAGCACTTAATAACGTAGGGATTCAACAAATTAATATATATATATATATATAAATTAATATATATATATATATGTGTGTGTGTGTGTGTGTGTGTGTGTGTATGTGTGCGGACGCCGCACGCGCGCATATGAACAATAACGTCTTCGGCCCAAACAAAGAGAGAAAAAAGAAAACAAGTACACAACGCAAGTCATTTTTTAAGTTACCTTTACTGATGTAGCCAACACCGGACCAAGGTGACCCTATTTGTAACCTTAAAACCATACTTTACCTCTCTATCTACTCAAATCAGTAACAATATAACAAAAAAAATAAATGCAACTATACAGTTCAAACCAACAATGTACGATTTTCTGGAAAAGGGAACCTATCCAAGTGGATAGCCAAAGGCGGCACTCGCGTAATAGGCTCCTCAAGTCTTACAAGCTGGTGAGAGAATGACTCCAACCCATCATTCTTTTCTCTAACTACTACTCTTCCAGTGATTAACAGGTCACAATTGAACAACGTGTGCCACAGGCCACCACCATAAGGTTGCACACCAACCTCCAGATAGCCACCTTTTGTATCCTAAAGGAGCGAACACGACATTAGCCTAATTCAAGATAAATTAGTCTTATAAACAAGATATATCAGTTTTAGGGTACATGTAAATTAATTATCTTTGTGATAGGTTTTAGCTGAAGAAAAAGAAAATAGATTGCCTAACCTTAATCAGAATAGTGTCTCCACGGAAAATCTGGAGCTTTTCCATGGTGTTCGGGTGGAGAGAGACGACGGAGTTACCATCTTCCTAATCTACAATTAGCCGATGAGTCGCCCTCTTCCTCGCCAAAATAGCAACGTCCACCACCGCAACTGACCCTCTCCGTCGTACTTCATTGCGTATGTGACCTTGACGCCGCCTACAC